TCAAATCTTAACCGCCTCTGCCTTCACGGGTTTTGTTGTGTGGTTTGTTTTGTTAGTTTTTCTTTGCACTGTATCTCGGTGGTGACTGTCTAGACCCGTACATCCTCTAGCCATTGCCATCAACACTAATCATTTTTTAAATTGATTATCACATTTCTAATCTATTAACAATAAATATTTTTTAAGTTGTTCCTTTATACAGCACAAGCCTATATTGCTATGCCATTAAAATTTCGGAATGAAAATTTTGGATTTACCATAATTCCAGGAATGAGGTTTGCTATGGTAATGGACTTTTGTGAGGATGGAAATTTAAGAAGCTTTCTTCAAAATAAAAAGATTGATTTGATCAACAAACTTTGCATATTTTATATAAGTTGTTGCTATTACGGCGATGCATCATCATGATCTTATTCATGGAGATTTACACAGTGGTAATATCTTACTTACAAAAAGAGATTATGATATTTTTCATCCAGTAATTGTAGACTTTGGCCTAAGCAAATACTTAACTGAGGAATTAAAAAATACTCAAAAATTAACTTATGGTTTAATACCTTATATGGCACCAGAACCCTTTAAGGGCTATTCGCATTCCAAAGAGACTGATATTTATGCTCTAGGGATGATTATGTGGGAAATTTTAGCTGGTGAGCCACCATTTAATAATATACAACATGATTCTTCTTTAATTTTAAGCATATGCGATGGAAACCGCCCAGAAATTATTGAAGGCACACCAATTTTTGGGGTGAAATTAATGCAAAGATGCTGGGATAATGACCCTAAAAAACGTCCAGGTGCTAAAGAAATGACGAATAAAGTCTATAGTTGGCTGATATCTGAATCAGAAGTAATTCAGGCGATGTCTCAAGAAGAGATTTATGATGGGTACTCAAACCGTGATTTGACAAAGGAGCGTCCTAATACTGTCAATTCGAGCAAATTTATATAAATATATTATTCATGAAATTTTAACATTTGCGAGCTCGGTAATATGATCATTAGAGTAAACGCAATTTATTGTATTTACTGCACTTACAAATAGACAAATTCTGGAACAACTGATAAAAAATTTAATTAATAATCGTTCGGTCGAATTCGATATTTGCATATAAAAGATAATATTGGTAAAATAATTTCATCATGATACTTTATATATTATGATATATTATTGTAAAGTTAGACGTTATAGATGTTCACAGATTCTCTTACCATAGATGGATAAAAGGTATAAAGCAGTCTTGCGACCTTGAAAAGTATAAACTTTAAAAAATATCTTGAATACGATATGCGAAATTTTATTTAGTTTGTGTGCTCTTGCTGATCTTTATTTGAAAAAGTCCTAAATGTAAGCCAATAACGAGAATTCAACCATAAAAAATTTTGCTAAAGTATTTATGTGTTTAAACAAGTATGTCATATTGTAATATATTACAGTATATTAAAGAAATGCCTGTTCTCAAAACTTTGTCAGTTCGTTCTTTGGTTGCTTTACATTGAAGACCTGGTGAATGTTGGGATTTTGGTTGTCGGTTTATAGATGTCGGGCTTTAGAAAATCTGAGATGAGTTCTGGCCTCCGAATTACACAATAAAAAGTTTTATCGAAAATTTCAAATGTTTTCGAATAAAAAGAATGCCTTAAAAATACCGAAGACAATTAACATTTATAAAGATGGTAGAAAATCCATAAAAATTGATCGTTAGAAAATTTGGTTTGCAATCATAGAAAAGCCCGCAATATGTTTACAGAAAATTACTATATCTATTAGTATATAAATTACGATTCTGTAAAAAATTACAAATTCCAGTTCAAGTGGCTTCTGTATAGAAAATT